AGTATACTTAAATGATAATTATATAAATAATGATATCTAAATTCCTTTTATTAGGGAGAACCCTAATTCAAGTTTGTTTCCTGTTCCGTAACATTCTAAGTTCTCTGATCCTTTCTCCTATCTCTGTACATAGAGACAAGGTAATTGTGGGGTCTTAAAATTCTTTTTAAACTTATACAAAGAGTTTCAGGGCTGGAATAGTTCTTAGTGAAAACAGACTCTAACTGCCTTATTTTATATGTGAAGAACGGAAGGTACCTGCCAAGTTATTCAGTTAAATGTACACGACATCCTCTACATTTGATGGTCTCTCTCTCTCTGATTTCTGCCACTTACTATGGCCGTGCTGAACAAAGAGGCAACCGGCAGACATCACACCCAAGACACACACCATCAGAGGGCTCAACACCCGCACATTACCTCTGCACCTCTTCCGAACAGGCCTGGGGTTTCTCCTCTCGTGGTCTGGGTTTCACACTTTCTTCAATCAAGGTAACATGACCTTCCACTGAATCAAAGAGCGTGTCCTCAGAGTTCGTCCTGAGGACTGAAAAATCACCACCAGGTGCCGCGGCAGTATCAACAGATCTTCTCTTCCTTTTCTTAGACTTTTTCTTGAGGCCACTGGATTCCTGATTGCCCCCTGCAGTCCCGACCTCACCAATCACTTGCGAGCCCTCTGAGTATATGTTCTCAGCGCTCTCAGGCGCAGGCAAGGCCTCAAATTCCTGGTCATTTGCACGCTTCCTCTTTCTTTTCTTAGACTTGCTTTGATCTGCAGACACTGGTAGTTGCGCAATTTCACCTTCTTGGCCCATGGGAGGCTGGGGTTCCTGCTCTTGGGATTCTGATCCGGGCAGGGTAATGCTTGCACCCAGACTTTCCTGGACAGCATCACAGGATGCAACTTTCCTCCGATGTTTTTTCTGCTTTTTCTCCCGAACTTTATCATGCAGTTCTGACTCATGTTCATGTGACTTAGTAACTAAATGCGGTTCATCTGCTTCAGGCCCTTTTGTTGACTTTCGCTCCTTGCTTACATCAATGTAAACGACATCGACATTCTTTGTAAAATTCTTTGGTGTGTTCTCAATGTTTTCTTTATTCACCAGGACGTACGCAACACCTGCTTCCTTATCGACCCCCAAAGCACCTTTTCTTCTCTTTTTACTCTTTTTGGGTATAGAAGTGGCCTTTTCAGTCTCATCGCAAATTTCTGATTTTTTCAAAGGAGAAGAAACAAGATGCTGGGCATCCTTTCTCTTTTTTTTACCCTTAGTTATGTCAGCCTGTTCATTTGCCAGGGAGGAGTCTCTGAAACTTTCATGGGGATGCCTCCCATGTCTCTCCTTATGTACAGAATGCTTAGTCTTTTTCTTGACGAAAACTGGAGTGTGGGTTTCCAATCTGCTTGATTCTCCTTCCATTTTACTCCTATAGGGAAACGGAACCACATGGTTTATTTTTGCAGAGCATTTTAAACATTAGCCTCAGGAGAAAAAAAAAAAAAAATCACACAAAAACGAAATTGCAGAACAAATGACAAGGCTGGAGTCATGATTATAAATTTTCTATTATTCTAAATGCGTAGCAAGCTCACTGTAATTCACTTGTCTGGTTCCACTGCCTTTATGATATGAAAAAAAAAATAGTTAATTGAGAACAGTGCTCTGCCATGATCGGGCCCTTGTTCCCCCACGGCCTCATCTTCTACCTCTCCTCTCAAACTCTGTGCTACACATGCCTTTTTTTTTTTTTTTTGGTTCCCCAAACATGCTCCAATCCTTTCCCTGGCTTGAGGTCTTATAAATCACGACTCCCTCTCTCTGGGCTGCTCTCCGCTGTCTCCTACCCCTCCCTGCCGCCTTTCATCCTTCAGAGCTTGGCTTGAACATTGCTTCTTCCAGAAAGCTTTAAAAGAATATAAACATTATGATACCATGCATACTACGTTAAGAGAATATAAATGTTATGATGCCGTGTATATTACGTTAAGAGAATATATACATTATGATGCCATGTATATTACATTTAAAACACAAAAAGTTTCATGTATCTTTTCTGAATGGATACATATGTAGTAAAACTATGAATACAGCATGGGGATTATAACTGGTAAATTCAGGGATTAGGGACAGGTAGAGAGCCAATTTCTCTTACATCTGTAATCTTTTATTTCTTAACTGGAGTAATGAGTACAGGGGTATTTGTTATATTTTTGTCTACTCTTTTAAAGTGAACTGAAATAGTTCACTTTTTAAAAAGCAAGGGGCAGAACAAGAATGCAGACTGCTTTCACTTAAAAACAAGCATTAAGGACTTCTCTGGTGGCGCAGTGGTTAAGAATCCACCTGCCAGTGCAGGGACACGGGTTCAAGCCCTAGTCCAGGAAGATCCCACAAGAGCCTGTGCTCTGCAACAAAGAGTAACCCCCGCTTGCTGCAACAAGAGAAAGCCTGCGTGCAGCAATGAAGACCCAACACAGCCATAAATAAATACATTTATTTAAAAAAACCACAAGTGTTAAAACAAGCAACTGAAGGATGTAAACGTACTGTTTTAAGTTTTAAAAAAAAAAAAAAAAAAAAGAGAGAGAGAGAGAAAAGAAAGAAACCTTTTCTGACCCCTTGAGCTTGGCCCATTCCCCAAATGATATACTTTCATAGCAAACTATTTCTCTTTCGTAGCATTTAGCCCAGCTGTGGTTCAGAGCGGGGACATCAAGTATCCACTGACCTCAAACTAGAAGATCGCCTTTTTGAGAAAGAGGCTGAATGGGCCTTGTTAGTGTCCAACAAAAAGTCCAAGTTCTGCAATAAGTAGGAATGAAGTTTAATAAGGCTCCAATGACAATTCTTATACAGAGCACGTGCATTCTGGAGTTTAAGTAGAGGAATGGAAATGTACTTCACAAAAGACATGGTTAAAAATATATACAAACACATCTTACAACTCTCCTTGCTCCGTATTGCTTCTGGGTTTCAATTTTTAAGATTTTATTTCTCTGCGACTAAAAGTAATACTAAAGGTAATATGTTTACATGGTTCAAACATCAAAATAATCCGTCCTTATTTCCCCTCCTTTCTCACAGAGAAGGTAGCATCTGTATATTCTGATCTGCATTTTGCTATTTTCACTTAACAACAGATCCTGGAGACCTCTCTGTGTCAGTGGTCTTTCAAGTCTGAATGCTTAAGCACATTTTCTACAGAAGGTACCTACTTTCTCCTAGGTAGTCAAGAAGCTATAAGAATTGTCTAGCTGGAAGGATGGGGAACAACAAACATGTAGACTGATACCTATAAACCAAATCTACCAGCCCCAGGATCTCACCTCCAACGGAGGCACCAAGAGCTTTGGTTAAGGCCTTCCTCGCTGGTGTCACCCAGAGATGCACAGAAACCCCTTCTTAACCCACTTCTTTGCAGCTCCCACCTCCATGACTCCCCCCTGAGACTGCTCCAGTTAGAGCGCCTATGACCTTCGCGCCACTAAATTCAAGAGATACCTTCCTGGCCCATCTTTCAGGATCTCTCTCTCTCTCTCCTTGGCTGCACCGCGTGGCGTGGTGGAAATCTTAGTTCCCCGACCAGGGATCGAACCCGTGCCCCCTGCAGTGGAAGCACTGAGTCCTAACCAATGGACCACCAGGGAATTCCCTCAGGATCTCTCAATAACAATGAACAGAGCAGATAATTCCTTTTAATATTTTTACCTTCCATTAGTTTCTTTCTTTCTTTCTGTAAATACCTGTATGCTTCTCCTTCTGGTCTCTTGAACTCAGCACCACGTTTTAAATATATAGTCACTTCCCACTAAATCCTTCTTATGGTTTCTCCATTATTCTTTATAAATTTGTTTATTTTATTTTATTTATTTTTGGTTGTGTTGGGTCTTCGTTGCTGCGCATGGGCTTTCTCTAGTTGCCGCGAGCGGGGGCTACTCTTCGTTGCGGTGAGCGGGCTTCTCATTGCCGTGGCTTCTCTTGTTGCAGAGCACGGGTTCTAGGTGCGCGGGCTTCAGTAGTTGTGGCGCACAGCCTTAGCTGCTCTGAGTCATGTGGGATCTTCCCGGGCCAGGGCTCGAACCCGTGTCCCTACACCGGCAGGTAGATTCTTAACCACTGCGCCACCAGGGAAGTCCCTCCGTTATTCTTAAGATAAAGTCCCAAATCCTTACAGACCTACCATGCCCTTCATGATCTAGTCTAGTCCATGCCTACCCCTCCACCTCTCATTCCTCCCTGGGTTTCAGACATCCTGTCTTCCTTCCGTTCCCAGAATACACCATGATCCTTCTCGTTATCAGGGACCTTACAAAAGCATCTCATTTTCCCAGGAATGTCTTTCCTCCGTTACCTTTCTGCGCTATAACTGGTCTAAGTTTGAACCTCACTTTCTCTTCTGGGTCCCGCCTTCTCGTTACAATGTTTCTCAACAGTCCAGCTGCTTCCCTACGGCACTTCGCTCCGTTGGGACATAACCGGCCTCCTAACGGCTGGGACCTTCTCGTCCGTCTGGTTCCCAAATGGTTACCCGGCGTTCGATATATATGGATATACACTTATTCGGAACATACCACTTCCCGCCGTGCAGGGACGTGCCCAAGCCTGGTCCCGATCCCCTCCCCACTTTGGGGTGCCCTGGAGACCCTGCTCTGCCCCGGGGTGGGCGTTCCGGGGCTGAGAGGGAGGAACGAACGAGAGGTTCCCGAGTGGAGGGGCTTGGAGAGGCTGCGGAGAAAACAGGCGCCACCCTCAGCCCTGGGGACCTGGGCCAAAGGCGGGCCTCCGGGGAGGTGAAGACAGCAGCCACACACCGCTCGGTTCAGACACGCAAACTGGGAAAAATGCCGGAGCAACTATAAGGCGCTTTCACCTACCTTCAGAACGCGTCGCCTCCTGCCTCCCAATCCGGAAGTGCTGGTGTCGTGAAAGCGGAAGTGGCTTGCGCCACTTCCGTCCCGCCCCCCTCCGGCATCGCGCTGCCGTAGCCGCTCGCTGGCTGTGGGGCTGTGACTCGCGTCGTTTTCTGCCCAGTTTGTTCCCGGGCTTGTTGCGAGTGGGGTGGGACAGGGTAGAGCGTGATCCTAAAACTAAGAAAGTGGAACAGAGTCCTTCCGCCGACTTGCTCATTCATGCCATTTATTCAACAGTTTTTTTTGCTGAGGTCCGTCTGCAGTCCAGGAGTGAACAAGATGCTGAGGGCTAACCTGAGGAAGACAGAAAACAAACTAATCAACCAAGATAATTTCAGATTATCCTTTAAGGAAAATAGATCAGGGTAATGTGATGGGGAGCGACTAGGGACAGTGAGAGCTAGGTTAGATAGTAAGGAAGGCTCTTTGACGAGTGACAGTTGAGTTCTAAATGAAAAGGGTGAACAAAAATCGATGGAAGAGTGTTCCAGGCTGGGAGCAAATCCAGAAGCCCTGAACTTGGTTGCTGGAGGAACTGAAACTCCCGCCAGGGTAGCGGGAGCGCCGTGAGTGACGGGGACAGAGGTAAGGGGTGAAGGCAGGGGTTGGCAGGGGCTCAGTGGTGCGGAGTCTAATGCCCATTGAACTTAGGTGGAGGTTAGAGGTAGAAGAAGCCTTGAAGATCTATTCCGATTCTCCCATTTACACTGAGTCCTGAAGAAACTTAGCTTATGATTAAAAGTAAAGCTTTAAGCAGGCCATCAAGTCGAGGCCAGTATACATGCCCCTCAAACTTTTAGTCTTACTGCATAGTGAACACAATCACACCAGCAAAGAGATTTCTCATGGAATCCTGTAATCACCCCCTGTTGTAGGAAATCTTTCTTAGGTAATATCAGCCTTACTTTGTGGATGAGAAAACTAGGGCCTCGTGTAATTTGTCACAGGGGAACTTATGTGGCCCCAGCTAGGATTCAACCCTGTGATCTTTCCACTACTCCAGTATCCTGCGCCTCGCTGCACCACCTCACTTCCTCTGTGTGAGCTGCCAAGCAGCTTTGATTAAAAAGTGCACAGCACACATTTATGGGAAAGTCTGAAAGTGAAGCAGATGAGAGAAACCATAAAGCGTACATCATACACCTGTCACCACCCAAGGGCCGCTTCAGGCCTTGGATGGACAGTGGGGAGTCTGTCTGATTTGCTCTGGAAAGGTAATGCTGGTGTTGTCCACTGTTGCTGTGCAAGGCCTTGAAGTGCAGGTGTGTTGTCTGTGCACCTTCTCTGTGGTGAACCCCTTACCCAGAGCCTTGTGGATATTTGCACATTTAATGACGATGATAATGATGGGTGAATGACCGCACTAAAGGCTGGGACTAGAAGGCAGACTAGGGATCGTCCAGGCTAGTGGTTCCCAAAACACTGCACCAATCACTCGGGAAGCTCTTAAAACGTGCAGATTTCCAACTTTGCATACAGACTGCATATCAGGCACCATTATTGTATCACGTTAAAATCCATAGACATAATAGCATTGTAGTTCTGTATGAGGATGTCCTTGTTCCTGGCAGTTACATGTATTTAGGGTCAGATATGATACTGTCTGCAGATCTTTTCAAAATGGTTTAGCAATGTGTATGCGTGCATGTTCACACACACACACACGCACAGAAAGTAAACATGGCAAATACTAAGGACCAGTCAATCTAGGTGAAGTCTATATGGGTTTTCATTGTACTCTTCTTTCAAAGTTTCCATAGCTTTGAACTTAAAAAAAAATCCAAAGGGGAAGAAGGATTAAAATACAGATTCTCAGATCCCATTTCCAGATATTCTGATTCAGTGAATCTGTATTTTGCAACTTCCCTTTATTCTGTTGCACAAAGTTGGGTACCATTGATTTCATTCAACTCTAGACTTTCCCCCCTACCCACTTCACAGAAGAAAACACTGAAGACCCAAAAGGTGACTAATTTGAGATTACCCAGTGGATTAGCAGCAACATCAGGCTTGGAATGTGGATTTCTATTTCATTCTGAAACACGTAACGCTCTGCCCCGGGCTGTGTGTGTGTGTGTGTGTGTGTGTGTGTCGTTGGGAGAAGTGGGAAGGGGCGGCGAGAGGGGTCGTGGTGAGTGGGGGGTGGGGTGGGTCTTTGACCTGGAAGTCAAGTGTAAATGGCCTTCTAGAACTCCGTCGCTTTTAACACAGCCCAGTGGTGATTCTTGGGTTTTTCTCAGGTCTACTTAAGAAAACTCGAAACACGTCCACTTAGGTGGCCGCCAAAAAGTTTCCTGAAAGTAAATCGACCAGCCTTGTTCCTGTGCCGTTGGCGTCCTGTCGCCATGGAAACGGACGGTTCCATTCTTCCTCAAGGGGTGGTCTTGATTTTCTCTCCTTTTCGAATCCGCAGCGCGGCGCCCAGAAGACGCTCTCAGGAACCAGAGGGGCTTATGTAGGTCTTACTGCTCCTTGCAACGAGGGGGCTGCGCGAGGTGGGGGCGCCTCGCTCCGGAGGGAGCCCGGCGTCCGGTGTCCACCCCGGCGTCCGGGTGGTGCGTCCCGGGACTGGCAGAGGGCCCCTCGGAGTTCCGCACCGGCCCCCCACCTGAGAAGCGCGCTGGATCCAGCCGGCTGGCCGACTCCCCGTGACCCCCAGGATGCCAGAAGCCAGGACCTCCCGCCACGACCCCACGCGATGGAAGAAGAAGCCGCCGGTGCGCCGCACGGTCAGCCAGATCTGCCCACCCCCGCGGCGGCCCCTCACCGTGGCCGACATCCAACCGGGCATGGAGAACGAGAGGCTGGGGGTCGTGCGAGATTCCATGTTTCAGAACCCGCTCATCGTCAAGGTGAGCCGTCCCCACGCCCATCACCCTCTTGCGCTCGTCCCCTCACTGGGCACGCACGCGGCCGGGGGTTTCCCCCCGTCCTGCCCCGGCCCCACCGCTCCGCTCCGAGCCTGGCACTGGGAGCTCCAGCTCTGGTCCAGACAGACCTGGACCCCCGGGCGGTCACGGGCAGGCCGCATCGCCTCGCTGACCCTCAGTTTCCTCATCCTCAAAGTGGGATGATAATGGCACTCATTAAAGGGAGTGATTGGGAAGATTGCATAAGGTAATCCCTGCGAGTTGGCGGCTCTTTGCTTATGTATTCACGCAGGGTGAACCCACAGGGTGACAGACAGGTAGCAGCACCCAGACTGCGTCCTTACCACCTGCCAGCCCTCGCAGGGTGCAGGCCGCCTCTCCCGATTCCCCTGCACGCCTGGGCTGCTGTTATGTAGCAAGTGTTCTGTACGTCTCTTGGAAGCATCACTTCACACGCTAATTTCCACCCAATCATACTCTTAACCAGAATTACGACCCTAAGAGGCAAAAAGCGCGAATCTCTGCCCCAGGGGTCCCACAGGCACAAACGAGCGAGGGAGCCGCGGTTTCCAACTAGGTCGCCTCCTCTTTGATCGCACGCTCCCTTACATTAGTTACGTTTCGGGACTGGTGTTCACCCAACGCTGGCGTGGCATCAACGCGCCTTTCCGGGGCCCCAGGATAGGTCAAGTTGAAGTTTGGCGCTTGGGAAGCTGGTCAGGAGCAATTTTACCTTGCGCCACTGGAGGGCAGTGTGCCTTTAAAAATGCGCGCAGTTCCCCAGATTCCGGGGGTGGAAGGCGCAGGTGATAACCGTGGATTCAGTAACAATTATTTATCTGAACGCCAGGAGCTGTTTAGAGCCCAGAGGTTTTGGTTGTTGTTAGTTTTTTGTTTGTTTGTTTCGTACAGGGAACTTGGGCTTTCTTAACATCGTGGTAGAATTAGCTGAGTTTACTGGCTCCTATGAAAACATGGATTCTCTCCTCTTGCCCTACCCAAACTCTTTCCTGGGCCAGCAGCTGGGAGAAGCTGGCTTATCACACTAGGCACCCTTCCATCTAACACCTCCCCTTCCTAGGCCTCCCAAAGTGGAGCAAAGTCCTTCACTTATTTCTAGGTGAGAAGAGCCACTCTCAGAGGACAGATGGCACAGACAGATGGGGTTCACCACTCTGGGATCAAGGGGAGAATCAATTTCCTCACCTCTGATCATTGCCCTTACTCAAGCAGTTACTGGTGGACCAACTCCTTCCTACTTAAATACAAAATGGACAGCGTAATGGAGTTATTCTCCATGGTGAATTAAGTGTGATGCCCACCCCAAGCTATAATATATCCATAGAGACACATACATACATATAGGTATATGCATAGATATATACATATTGTATATACACATACACTTTACATATATATATGCACACACACACATGTGTATGTACAATATACATGTGTTTAACATGTATAACATACATCTATAAGTAAAAATTTCCCCTCCCTTTTTTCCTTTTGCTCGTGCTGCATATCAAGAAGGACAGTATTTGGCCTCCGGATGGCACTAGCTGAACAGCTTCCAGATGAATTCAGTCCTGATTCCTGAACTTGAACTTTGGGTTGGAAAATGTGCAGGAGACACTGACCCACCACCGAGGGTTCTGTCTTCAGAGCATGAGACACAGAGAAGGGCTGCCCCGTCAGCGGTGACTCGGCTCAAGCAGCAGGGGGCGCCCTGGTGATCGTGCCCAGCTTGTTTCCTGTCAGGAAAGCAGGTCTTTCCTTCTTACTTTCCTCCCTCCAGTTCTTGATGGGCCGTAAGGTAGTTTCAGTACCAGTTAAGATTATGTCCACATTTCAATACTGACCACCGCTACCAGATTTTTCTACTAAAATCTGGCCTAAGTAAAAGCTGCAGAAACATTGAGAGCAAGGAGTAACCTTGATTGTTACCTTCTCCAGACCCCTCCTTACACTGGGGACGCTGAGGCTGTCTGTGGTGGGTTCTTTGTGCAAGGTTCTGGCAGAGCTGGGGGTAGAAGCTACGTTCCCTGGCTCCCCGCCCAGCTTTACTTTTACCACTCCAAAAAGCTTCCTCTATTTTAAAGGAAATTTAAATGATGAAAAAAACTTTGAGGTTTTCAGCTCCCAAGAAAAGAAGATTGAAAGTATCCAAGATGGTGGCGCCTTTAAAAAAATCTTTTTAAAAATAATATGTCGCTGAAATTTCTGTTGAGGCGTGGCTTGTGGATTTCTTGACTGTGGCATGTCAGTTTCACAATCCCAGATTTTCAAACCCTTGTTTCTGTGCGAGTTCTCATTGTGTGCAGCAGAGGTGGGAGTGCCCTCTGCCTGGGGTGTCTGCAGGAGAATGATTGGGACTGAAGTCTATTTTGGTTTTGTCTCAGTCTGAATCTGAAGGTTGCATCTATATTGGGGGAACTTAGCACCTTAGAAAGAGTCATTTACTCCCCCATGTTGGGGGGCTGTTGCTCAGATTTGCTTTCTCCAGTGAATAGGATCTGGATTGTTTTTTTTTTTTTCATTTAAAATGCAGACACACTGCCTGAACAAACACAACACTGCTGTTTCACACCCATGGAATTTACCGGGACGTACACGCATCAGTTATTCAAGAACATGTCTGCAAGATGCCACCGTAACCAAGTGAAAAGTGAAAACCTCAGACATCCAAGCAGATATTGTATCAGCAAGAGCTCAACAACTCTTTGCCTCATTTAAAACCAAGCCAACTGGCTATTGAGTGGGGCTGATTGAATCAGCTCCATGTTTTAATGTGGTCACAAGAAGATGTAAATGTTTTCCATTAGAAAGGGCATCTATTCTATTGTATAAAGTGACGTGTGGTTAGCCAGTTTTCCTTCAAATGTGACTCTCTGGGAAGAATAAAATTAAATAGAGAAGGAGCCAAGCTTCTCCCTGCTTGATTCTCATTTCCCCAGAACTCTGTGACTCAACAGAGGCTCCTGCTACAATAGCCTTCAAGGCTCCTTTACAGAACCTGTCAGGGTGCACCCTTCCTGCCATCGGAACTCGGCTGATATCCTGTCAATACAATTATGGGGAGAGACTGTTTGGTTTGCTCCACTGACAGCCTTGAATCTTCTGTCGCCCTGGAAAGGCAGGCTGGGTACAGGGGTGGAATTTATTGAATTGAGCATCCTTAGAGGGTGCAAATGATCACGGCACCCGATGTTTTTCATAATTTCTCGCCGACTTTGTTTTTCTGTGGGGCTTTATGTCACAAACAGGAAGCGTGTGCATTTGTAGGTAGAGCTGTAGAATCACATCCTTCTGGGGCTGGAAGGAGGTTTACAGCCATCTAGTCCAATTCCTTTTTTGAGGCTATTAAGACCCAGAGAGGGGAAGAGACTCGCCCAAGGCACTACCCTGACCCGGTCACAGAAGTGGGATGAGATTTATGTCACCTGACTTCCAGACCCATGCTCTTTGGCCGCGATACACAATTAGTTAATGAATGACAACCCAGATTGGTTATACCTGTACATCAGGCAGTCAAAAAAATGTTCATGGATGAATCCGATTCCATTATTGTTTCACTCAACATTCCTTCCAGAGTGAACTCTACTAATTTCTTGGGATTTGTTGACAGCCAAGAAATATTTATTGAATGTTTACTGAGTACTCTGCACCATCCTAAGCTCTCTTGGGGGCATAGAAACAAGTTCAGAACTTAGCTCTTGCCCATAAGGAGTTAATTATTTAGCTGGAGAGACAGAATATCTATATATATGTATTTCATATGTATGACATATATATTGCTTAGCATAGCCCCTGCATCCAAGAAAGCTCTCAGGAAACATTAGCTCTTACTATTGTGCACACACACACACACACACACACACACACACACACATACACACACACACACAGATAATAAGACAAGCAATGTCATGGGTCACCCCCCTGTAAGTTTCAAGTTTCTGCACTACCCGGAAAGGTTCAGATTTGGGGGGAGGAAGCCCTGAGCACGACTCAGAAGGCTTTATAAAGGAACAGTCCTGAAACTGGACCTTGAAGGGTGAAAAGGTAGATTCTGATCAGGGGTGGAGATTAGGAGAAACTCAGCCCTCCGGGACCAGATGACTCGACCCTCCTTAGATCCTAAGGGTTCATAGATTTTCACCCCAACCCGAGTTCTATTTCCTAAGACTCAGCGCCGCTGCTGGGATCCTTATCATCGTCATCACGGGGAACCATTTATTTAGAGCCAGTGTGTCCAAATTGGATGCTCTACAAAATTAGGCAACCACACTCAGCCACACTAAGAGCCTAACATCTCTAATAAACATTGATGCTGGTGAACATCGGCACGCAGGTAGACACAATGCAAAGAAGGCGGGCAGACAAACACACCGTCGGGCACACAACCCAGCGTAGGTCAGTATTTTTATCATGTTTGAGTGAAATGGGAAAATGTTATATTCCGCTATGTATTGCAGAGAATATGCCTTTGATTGCTCAGATCCTTTTTCGTTCAATTTACAATGTAACTGGAGAAAGTAAAACACAAGGAAGGGGGGCTGAAACTGAGCTGCCCATCTTAAGGACCCAGTCTCGGCAGGCTGGTGGGCAGCTTTCATTTTTCTAGGGAAAGCTACGGGGTTGTCGATCCCTGCAACTCTTTCTCTCTCTGTCCTTTTTTTCTTTTTTCCTCTTTTTAAATCAAAGCTTCCAGCTTCCTGGCACCCAGGCACATCCTCCGGTGAGCAAGGGCGAGCAAGCAGGGGCTGCAGCAGTGCCCAGCCCTGTGGTCGGTTCAGAAAGGAGACCTGCTCCCGCCCAGGCTTTTTACCACTACCTGGAGTGGATGGGTGGGACAGATCTGCTGGAGGAGGGGCCCCGCCTTCCTCTTTGTCCCTCTAAAAAAGGAGGGCTTTGGCTTTGAAACGTTAATGAAGACCTCAGAATGCGGGTTCCTGGGGGATGAGCTCAGCCCCCTT